AAAAAAAAAAAAAAAAAAAAAAAAAAAATGAGATAGAAAAAGATAGGCCCAGGCTGTGTTTTTCCTGTCAGGTTCCCACATCCTCTGTCCCTCTGTCTGCGGAACGTGTCCCCGTGGGATGGGAGGTGAGCTTGCTCTGATGCCCACCCATCGGCCCTCTGCTTTAGTGATTGGGCAGAGAGAAGGCTGTGCTGCTCCACGGGGCTGGGAGGTGGCAGCAGAGGATGCTGTGGGTGGGGTCGGGGAGGTGACGGCTCAGGTAAGTAGCTGTCACACGTGGCATTTTCATTCACAGCCTTGTCACAGTCACCTTTGGGGAAAGGGGAGAATTGCCTTCCACATAAGAGGTTGCCACTCGTTTTCATTTGCTGTTTCATTTTCAAGGGAAAAAAATCATGCAACAAAATCATTTGTCTTTTTATGATCTGTTTTTCTCCCGGAAGCATCATTTCCGCAGCTCACATTTCTGACCGTCTCTAACCCGGGTCTCTGGCTGTCCTGTGCTGTGGCCTCACAGTCATTACTGCACTGTTTGTTTCCCAGACTCCTTGAGGAGGCAGGGCCCACTCCTTTGTTGTGGCTCCTTATGGCTTCCCCTCCTGAGGGAAGCCCAGGTTCTGGTGTCCACATTCTACACATAGTCCCAGATTTATTGGCGATCTTTTGGTCCTCACCCCTAAACCAGCAAGAGATGAGAGTAGTGAAAATTCTCCAGGGTAGAAGAAAAGGCCAGAGGCACTGTGGGCAGGGTCTGGGTCGCCTCACTAAGGTGTTTGCTGCCACAGCTGAGGATCTGTGGCTGCCTTCTTTGTTGAGTATCAAACGGAACAGACTCTGAAACGTTTAGAATCAGCTCAAGTCAAGGTAGTATATGGGTGAGCAGATGTTCTTGTTTAAGATTCAGGATTTACCAAGAAACGATGATGTGCTGCTGTGTCACATGCCTGTGGTCCATGGGGAGCTGAAGCAGGAGGATTGCAAGTTCAGTCCCAGCCTGGGCAACTTAGGGAGGCCCTGCCTCAAAATGAAGGACGAGAGCTGTAGCTCAGTGCGAACACTCTGGATTCAACCCCCACAACCACAAGGAAGGAAGGGAGGGAGGGAGAGAGAGGAAGGAAAATATCCCGATAAAAAGAAAATATCCCTATAAAAGAAAATCTAAATCTAACCTATTTTAAATTCATCAGGGAAGGAAACTGTCGGGACTATTACCTGATCTATCCCTGAAATATCAGAGATCCCCTTGTATGCCTAATTAGCTTGAGAATGGGCCTATTTTATGCATCAAGATTTTGGGTGTTTTTGAAGAGTAAAAAGTTTATTTTGATATATGCTTCCTCTTAGTGTTTCTGAGATTAAGATGGAAGATATTTTGTCCATTCTGACAAGAGATGATTCTTTTAAAGTGAGGCGAAGAGAGAACCAGGTAAGTTATTTTTTATTGCGCTTGTTGCTGACAGCAGTGACTTGTATTTCTTGATCTGGAATGGCAGAATTTTGCATGTGGGTGAGTTAATTTTTTTCAAGCAGAATGTTTATTTTCAGGAATGTGAACATTAGGTGAGGCCAGACCTGGAATATGTTTTTGCTTTGCTTTGCTTTGGGATGTGTTTGTTGTTGTCATTCAGTTAATGGGCTTTGTTCCACTCTGGGTGTCTGCCCACCTGCAGCAGCCTCCCCAGAAGGGGGCCTGGGTCAGAACACGCAGCCCCTAGAGGTCCCCCCAGATCACACATGATGTACGCCTGGACTCGTCCATGCAAGACAGCAGGGGAAAATACCTGCGTCTCCTTCAGACTCACTCTGTTCATCCATCTATCGCTGTGCACGTGCTGTCCAAGTAGGAAGGGTGAAGTCGAGATTGTTAATCGGAAGCGGCTTACTCTCCATGCAGCTTATTCTCCGTGTGCGTGCAGGTCCCATGTGGCGCACACAGCCTGAGGACCTTCGCTACTGCTCTTCCAGCCCTCACTTGTGCCAGGCAGTCATCTCCCAGCCCATGACTCAGTGCACCACACATATGTGAGTGTGTGCAGTGCTGTTGTGTGTAATTGTGTCTATCAAACATTAACCACTTGGATATTTGACTTTGTTTTCTGATACCCAGGGATAGAGTGGAGAATCAGAGCCAAACAGATCAAGCTTAGGAGTTTCTTTCATGCTTTGGTGTGTGCCTTTATTTGGATCAATATTCTCCCTGAGGCAGGGCCTAGATTTGACTGACCCTGACTTAAGTTCTGTTCTTCCGGAGAGTAGCTAAGCAAGTGTATCTGGTCAAGGGAAGGAAGTAGTCCTTGCCCCTCTCACCTGAGGGACCCAGGCCTGCGCTAAGCTGTTTATTCACGTGACCCCACTTAGTCCGGACAGCTGGAGACAGGCAGAGGGGTTCCCTGTAGTCATCCTTCTGGGTCCCAAATCAGGCAGTGGGTTCAGAGCATGTGCATTTCACTGTGTTCTCTGTGCTCTGCTGCAGTTCACTCAGCCAAGGACAAGAGATTGAATTGCTTTTCCCCTCCATGCTGGGCATTGCACCCAGGGCATCCATCACTTGTGCTGGGCAAGCACTCAGTCTCTGAGCTATACCACAGCCCCTAAATTGGTTTTTGTGGCACGGGGGATCAAACTCAGGACCTTGCATTTGCAAGGCAGGTGTTGTGCCACTAAGCTAAATCCCCAGCCCTCATTTGCTTGTTAAATGAGCTGTTAGCTATTTTCATGGAAGTAAGATTTGGCCTATAAATGGTACCACAACAAAGATCCACAAAAAGCTATTAAAGACTCTGGAACCTGAGCATGGGGGTACATGCCTATAACCCCAGCTGTCTGGGAGGCTAAAGCAGGGGGTCTCAAGTTTGAGGCCAGCCTGGACAACTTGGTGAGACCTTGTCTCATAGTGAAAAATAAAAAGGGCTGGGGATGCAGCTCAGTATACTGGTTGCCCAGCAAGCTCGAGCCCCTGGGTTCCATTCCTAGTACTACAACCACCACCAAAAAGACTCAGTTGATCAAGTCATTTTACATGGCCTTTTGTGTACAAGATCCCAGCCACACTAGATTATTGTGCCTGTCCCTTATTGTCAAGGGAATTGACTGGTCACCACACGGATGGTCACTGGTCTTGGCACACTTCCATACTTCTATAACTATTCCAAATTCTACTCCAGGAGTTGTGTGTATGAAGGTGCCTGTGATACGTCATTGTGGCTACAGTCCAACTCCGGATCAGAGGGAGCGCAGGAGCAGGGCTGTGAGCCTTTGGGCAAGTCCCAGGCCTTCCTAATAAGCTGTGGTTCCCTCCTGTGTGGAATTGAGACGGTGATAGTGCTCTTGTAGGAAACAGGAGGGTTGTGTGGGAAATGGTGCTAAAGCCCCCAGTACGTTTTAAGGCACAGTACCGAGGGATCTGTACTATTACTGTTGTCACTGTCGTCGTGAGTTAGTAGCAGATGTATAATCAAAGCCCAGGCTCAGTGACATAAGTCCAGAGCCTTCCTTTACTGTATCTTAATAAGTGGAACATTAGCATCTGCCTGCTCTCAAGAAATAAGAGCCAGAAGGAAAACTACAAAATGAGATGGTAAAGGTTGGCTCAAACTTAGTCTCACGTATACTGTTTCTGGGACCAGCTTTGGTTTCAGTCTTTATCCCTGAACACAGACTTTCACTCCAGGGAGGCAGTCATTGTACTCGTCTGCCACGGCCCCTCCTGAAGGACACATCCCCAAGGGAAGAACAGAGCAGCTGCATTTCCCTCTGCCCTTTCAGCTACGGGCCACGTCATTTTGTTTTTTTTTTTAACATCTGCCCTTCTGTGGCCTCGCAGCACCGATTCTTCCCTTAAGCCCTTTCCCTGGCTGGAGGCCAGCGTCTGAGACCTCCTGAGCTTCGAAGAGCCACCTGAGGTCCTGCGGAAGAGCCAGGCCCAGCATCAGGCAGACCTGTGCGTGAGGCCTTGCACACACCTGGGAGCTCTGAGTCCTTGGGCACGTGTTCTTCCTCTCACCTGGAAAGTGCGAAGGAGAACGCCCATCCTCACTGGTTGTGGGTTTGAATAAAAAGAGGCAAGGAGTGCTTGGCGTGCTTCCCAGCTGTGATGGTTCCTAAAGGCCAGAGACTGTCCTGGGATCTCATTCAAAGTGACTGTCTTGGTGGGCAGAAGGAGTTGAATGCTTTGGTAGTTTTAAGATTTGGTGATCTTGGGCCAGGGATTTGGCACAGTGGTTCCACTGCCCGCCTCGCAAGCTTAAGGACCCGAGTTCGATCCCAGGTACCAAAAAAAAAAAAAAAAAAAAA